TTCCCAACACCGAAAACAATAACCACGATAATGTTGTGGAATTTGTTCACAGTTTATAGCCCAGTGACCCTTAGTGCAATAGAAAGAGCAAGTTTTAAACAAATTTTTATGATTTTGTGAACTTGTAACGACAACACTTGAAGATATATTCTCCCAATTCTTAAATGGAGCCAGGGCTGTAGAAGCGACAGAAGTAGTAGTAGTTGTGGTGACAGAAGAAGTAGAGGCAGTAGTTTTAGCCGCAACAGGAATAGAGATGTTAGAAGTAGAGATAGAGGAAGAAGTTGAGTCTGGACTTTCATTATTTATTAACATTAAGCTTTTTTCATAGTTTAAAATATTATGAATAAAAGCACTTGCTATTTCTTGTGATTTTATTAAACCATCTACAATATATTGAAATTTAGATATTATTACTTTGAAAATAAATGTAAAAACTAACTGTAATTGTTCAACGAATAATTGTTACAAACCTGGGTTTTTTAATCCAAGAGAAAGAATGTGAGAAGTATCTCACAAGAAATGAGAGGATAATCCTAATTCAGATTTTTACAGAAGATGAACCATAATGATAATGATAACTATAATTAGTAATGTTCATGGCATCTCAATTAATATTTAATATTAATGTTAATGTTGGGGTGATTGATCAACTTGTGTTCATAATTCTGGTAAGTCATAGCCTTGGTAAACATAATTTGTAACTAGTAAATGTATTCTGTTTATTTGCAACTCTATTTAGCGTTAGTTAGGTATTTTTATACTAAAATATTTGTCAGTTTTGATAAGGTTTGTTGTGGCTATTTCTAAAATTTCTTACCTGCTTATTAACACAAAAATTCAGTATCATCTTTCATAATAAGTGAATTATTAAATCAGAACTAAATCATTTGCACTATTTATGTGTTTGTAACAATTAATGACCATTAAAAAAACCAGTAGGTAATATATACATTATAAAATTAATAATTAAAGTTAGCTGTTCTTTAATAACGGAATACTTATAATATTTAAAAAATCTTTAAGAATCGTCAGCACAAGTGACGAGTTTTGTTAATATCTAATAGCTTTTGAAATGAACTATTGATAAATTTATTAAACAGAAACAAACCAAAAAAAAGAATTACAAAAAAAATCATAAGTACAGAAAAAATGCAGGCCAATTTGTATATTTATTAAATTTAAAAGTTTTACATATACTTCCTGATATTTTGAAACTATTTATTATTATACATTACTATGAAGATTTAGTAATACTATATGAGTAATTTTTGGCCCAGTGATTCGATGCATTTTTTCTTCATGCAAATATTTTTTTTTTTAAAAAAATTATTTTTTTACTGGATATAAAAAGATTTTTTAAACCTTAATAATACTAAATAGCAGTGTTGGTAATTGTCACATCCATTTATTCATATTTATAACATGCTATATAAGTATTGTAAAAATTTTTTTTTATATGTTGCATACTGGGTGAAAGATCAGTCTAGGTTTCCTCCTGTCGATAGATTTAAAGTAACCCATGATATCTCTACAATTAAAACAAGAACTTCTTTGATCAAATCAATGCTGATTTATCTGAACAAATAGCTAACGATTTTAACTTGGAGTTTAAGAACCAAATAGAAACTAAAGGAAAGAAATTCAGTTTAGGACAATATAAAAAAATCAGAGAAATATATGATAAATTTATCAAAAAAGATCGTAAATTCAAACAATTATTAGATAAGAAAGTTGGTGTGAGTACTGTTAATGAATTTGTAAACGCCAGAAGTAAAGCTATCAAAGCCATTAAAGTGGATGAAGCATTTAGTAATGTGGTGATTTCATTTATAAATCAAAATCCAAACCTCTAATAAATTCAATCCTAAAGAGACCATCACTACTACCACCGAATTAAATGCATGGGATATTTGTTTTCCTCAAGATTTTTTTCAACCACAATGTCAGTTTTTTAGTTTTTTAGTTCGAAACATGGACCATCATTATGCTACTCTAATTGAATTTTGTGGAAAATGTAATCACTGGGGTACACATTTTGAATCACAATGCCGCGGTAAGTAATTTAATCATTCAAAATATAATTACAAGATTTTATATTAATAAATATAAATCTTTTAGTAGAAGATCCTGCGAGAATTAGTAAATAATTTGTCGTGGGAACGAATCTTTTATGATAATCATTTTACAAATAATATTTTTATTTGATAATTCCTTTGTACATAGTCTAATAACTGTATATATTTTATCTAAATAATATTAATTTTTTTAAATTAGATAATGAAATTAGCTATGCCACCAGAAGTTTGATTCTTGATAATCAAATTAGGCCAGAAACTTTGTTTAGACGGGCTATTCAACCAGGCTAGTTGGATGGTGGCCTATTAGCTAAACAAAGTTTAGTTTGGTGCTAATTGAAAGATTTTTTCTATATTGTATATAGATTTAAAGTTGCTATTGAATAAATGATTCTTATATATGCAACAATTTAAGGTTTTTTTATGACAAAAGAAAGGATAAAATTTATCGAATTTATTTAATACTGAAACAGATTAAAATTATTATTATTCGATTCTATATTTTAGTCTGAATAGAAAAAAGTCTAAAGCTTTCTTAACTGTTTGATAAACCAAAAATATTATAGATTTTAATTTAATTTATTCAAATCCGTCTACCTTGGACATATTTTTTTATGAACTATGCTTGCACAATTGTAATAATTAATCAACTATTAGGTAAGAACTTAACAAAGGTAACAGCTAAAAAAGAAACATTTGAATCCCA